ACATCATGGCCGGCCTAACCACCGCTTTATAGAACTTACCTTTGAGTGTCAGTGACACTCTTTCAGAAACAAACATATACAAGTTATATCAATCATGCTTTCGCAATAAAAGTGAAATTGACTAATTATAATAATCACATAAACCCGGAACTCAATCATCATAAAATATAAATATACAGAAGGGGTCTATGAAGATCTCCAGGGTATTGTTTTTCATTCTTACGGCGTTCATTAAAATCTTCATCACTAGATTGAGAGGTACTATTCTAGATCATTGATGTTATTCTCGTACACAAGACGAACCCCTAAACCTTTGATCACTGGATTCTCATTGAGGCACCAAACTCAAACTGAATCCAGTTATTAGGACTGTAAACCATCAATCCAGATATCCTAGAAAAGTATGGCTTAACTCCAGATACTTTTCTCTTCCTATTAACCCAAAAGAACCACTAATTTTGCTCAACGGACCATCAATGGCTTGTGAACCTACACCGTGTCACGGGTCCTTGGAACTTTTGGGTAAACAACAGTACGTAAAATAGGAGGAGTTATCGTATCAAAACCAGCACAAAGAGCGAACCCCATGATTTGTGTGTGTACCAATTTTTGTTCAGGGCCACTGTGATTGAAGTCCCCGAGTTCTTGTACGTAAACCACTCTGGAATATACACACCAGGGGCGTAAATACTAAATCTGCCACCAGACACCAGTCATGGATAGTTCCTGCACCATGAAAGGAATGTTATTTGCAGCTATTCACAATGCCAAGGGAAGAAGCTTGAACTACTTAAGGTTCTTTAGAAGAGAAATGGAGAACGGAATTGTTTCAACGGCTGTGTTAGTGCAGTGGAGCTCCTCTATACCAACTAAAAGTCCCAAGTCCTCTGGTAAATTTTTAAGTTTCGAACATCCGGACACACGAAGTGTTTTCAGACATTTCAACCTTAAAATACTGCTAGGAAGACTCTCAAGATGCTTGCAGTAACTTAGATTTATTGCAGTAACTCCTGATAGTTTCTCAACTGATGTTGGTAGTTCACTCAAACCAGTGGCTTCCAAATACAGTTCTGATAAACGATTCATTTTATCTTCTATTTCTGGGAATATTTTTAGCTTTGAGCAACCTGAAAGAATAAGAACCTCAAGCTTTTCCAATAAAATACTTTTTGGCAAGCTCTTCAAATTCTTGCAGTTCCTCAGATTGAGCAGGACTAGGCTTTTGAGATCTCCAACAGAAAAATTGATTTCTACCAAACTTGTGCAATCCTCAAGAATCAACCTTTCAAGATTAGGGGTACGTGAAAAATCTGGGGTCCTTATTAGCTTATGTGAATGGCTAAGGTTGATGTACTTCAATTTTTCAAGAACCTGTCACAAAGACCCAAGAAGAAAGCCTTAAATTAGTAATATTCGAATAAATACCATAATTTAATGGATCCAACCAACCATTGGAAGAGCAAAAGGTAACCTAATATGAACCTTAGAGGTATTCCAAAGTTGTATGATGCAACTATTTTTCAATTTCAAAGCAACAAGTTGTTCTCCCTGAAAGCTAATTGGCAGACTTTTTGAAGGATATTCGTGCCAATCGAGCCACCTCAATTCATCAGAAAGAAAATCAGGACCCTGGCAAACATATATATTCCGAAATTTGAGAAACCTTAGTCTTGTCATTTGCGTGAAGGCCTTGTGACTAACATTCACTTCTTCTTCACTAGTCAAGTTCAAGGATATGCCTTTGATCTTTTCAGTGCCTGATAAGGAAGGATATTAAAGGAGGATGAAAAAAGGGAAAGAGTATAAGAAGTCATATGTATGCAAATGCTTACGATGTTTCTTTCAAGTACAGGAGAAATATCTTCGTGCGTCCACAACCTACTATATATTCTTGGGTCATCAGAAGCTTCTCGACGAACAATGTGCCAGCCCATTTCTTGTATCAATCGGTGCATGAAAATGCGACCTTTTGAAATGATAATCAAAGATTTCTCCATGAGAACTTTTATGCCAATGGTAGGTCTGAAATTAAAACTCTCGAGTATTCTGGTCACTGAATCTTTCTTCTTCCCTGTAAAGAAACACGCTATGTCTAAGAATATCTTTTGCTCGATACTGTTGAGTCCAGTAAAACTTCGTTCGAGTTTCTTCAAAATTTCATTTCCTGGGATTGTTTTCAACCATTCCACTTCACTTGTCCATTCAACCAAATCTCTTCCATACAAGAAACTGCCCAGGACTTTCAGAGCCAAGGGGAGTCCTGCAGTATGCTTTATCACTTGAGCTGAAAGATCGTCAAATTCCTTAGTTGGGTGTCTCTTCTTAAAAGCATGTCGTTTAAAGAGCTGTAAACTTTCATATTCACTTAATGTTCTCATTCTGTATATCTTCTCCACCCTATGCTTAACAAGCAAGTGTTTGTCTTTGGTTGTTATTATGACTCTACTTCCGGGACCAAACCAATCACGTTCCCCAGCTAATGCATCTAACTGATCTATGCGATCAACATCATCAAGAACAAGAAGAACCTTTTTGCACGGTAGTCTTTGTTTTTGCATATTAGCTCCTTCAAATGAATCACTGATCCTTACATCTTTTATGACAAGGATCTCAGAAAGAAGTATCTCTTGCAATCGCTCTAAGCCTTGTTTTGCTGAACGCTCTCCAACTTCATGAAGAAAACATGCACCTTCAAATTGACTCCGAATATTGTCATAAATAACTCTTGCTAGAGTTGTCTTCCCCAGTCCGCTCATTCCCAATATTCCAAGGAAGCGAACTTCACCAGACCCGACCTGAAGCATTTTATACACTTTTTGCATGTGTGACTCCATTCCAACAAGATTTTCAGCATTGCTGGATTGTCTCTGCCCACCCAATTTGGCCATTATATCTTCCACAATTTGCTCTATAACTCTAGCTTCATGCCTGAATACCACAAAGAACGTCTCAAGATTCTGTTTTATCGCATAGTGAAGCTTCATTTATCAAAAAATACAATGCAGTGGTTTAAAAAAAGTTCTCTAAATAGTATTACCAAAACTCATCCTTTTAATGAACTCCTAATTTACTGGAAGCTGTTAAGACTGTACTGATGTGGCCGGG